TATGCATTCCTTAAGAAATGAAGATTATTATTTCCTTGTTCCTTATTTTCTTGTTTGAACTCTTAATTGCCAGGAAGATCATCAGGATGGTCATACAAACATATGATTAAAATTCCTAACTTTGATTTCTACAGATTGTGCATAGATAAGTAAATTGATACAAATAGACATTACAATAACAAACATATTTAATAATTTTCTTTATTGATTTTATCTGAAAGAAATTTTTTGGCATCACCAATGGGAGATAAAGTATCAAAAGAAGCTACGGTATTGAAGCCTGTGCCGTCACTTGATGAAAGTGAACTACAAACAAAAGTTGATGAAAATATGGAAGTTACAGTTGGAGATAAAGTAAGTTCAGAGAGTGGGGAAACAAAGGTTATCAGTTTTTTATTTGAAGTAAAAGTAACCTGAATAGCAACAATTTTGAGATGCTCTTCATATTTTTGTACAATCTACTGATAGCCATTTATTTCAAAATATAAAATTAAAACATAAACGCAATTTTACATTGGTCTAGATTCTGTCAGTAATTTATGAAAAATAATATAATAATAAAAACGATAAACCTTTTTTGTTATAACCGTGATATTTATTATAAAATTTATGAATGACAATCATATTTATAATTTATATTCTGTCAAATGAAAAAAGAACCAATTTGGATTTGATTATTTTGCTTTAACATAAGAATGTAACTATAAAAGAAAGCTAACAATAATTTCATAAAGCTGTATCCAGGCTTCTTTATACATTTAATACAATACTGCAGTAATGTTCCTAAAGCAAATAAAGAAATGACTAATCTTATAATTACCAAATGGAAAAATACATAACATTTAAAAGAGCGTGCATGACATCTAGATCTACATACAGAGAAAAAGTACTAGGAATAAAATTCAACATATCGTTGATTGTTTTATCATATATTTGTATATAAATATAATTTGTAATGTAATTATTCATTTAATTTGTAAATAAGTTTCAATATGCTTTTTTGTTATGAATAGACTGTCAAAGTGTATGTTCAACAAGTCATTAAAAAATCAAATCAGTTCAAGCTGGATGTCCTCTTCCTCCATGGCAATGCATTCAGCTCCAAGAACTGGACAGATCTCAAAACAACAGATCATGTCGCCAATTGGGGATATAGAGCCATAGCCATAGATCTTCCAGGTCTGAGTTTATCTTATATGTATTTATAATCCTTCACTGATACAAAAGTGTTTTAAGGTGTCCTTTTTTGAAAACTCTTGCTTAGTACTTTTCTTTGTTAAATACTTCATATTATCCATTTAATACTCCTGGTTAAATGTTTCTTTTTGAGCGAAGTGCATCATCCTTTGTAAGATAACATTAATCTAATCCAGCTTTTAAAATCAAATTCTCTGTATCTTTAAAAGGGTTCATTTTTTTTATAACAAAAACCTAATCTAGCTTCTAAAAATCAACTTCCTGTTTCCTTTGTATCTATTTATGCAACTTAGATTATTATTTTTTAAATATATTGCTACTGAACTAAGTGGTCAGAATAAACTATTGTTAAAAAATCAATATTTGTGTACAATACAAGGAGGCCCAAAAGTAAACACATAGACTATTTTTAATTTATTTGAAAATTTGACTCAAGAACAGCTGGAAATTCGTTATACCTCTTAATTATAAACATAAACAATTTAATCTCTCAGATGCTCAAAATATCCTCTTTCAACAATGCAACATTATTCAAATCTCTAAGCAATTAACTTCAACCACATAAAAGGTAGTAACAGTAAACCTACTTTCGGTCCACTGTATATTGGACATAGCAGTAGGCCATTTTTCTGATCTGGTTAACTATTGGCCACAGAAATTGGTGAGCTGTTTGTTTGTTTAATGTTTTAAAATGTTTTGGATGTTCCTTTAGAGTTGAAGATACTTTACTTCCTAGTCCAAACTTCCAGCAGGACGGCGTAGAATGGGAGCGGGCAGGGTTTGAACCCGGGACCATCGATAAATCCAAATGACAGTCCAGCGCGCAAACCGCACGACCAGGCAACCATTTACTAAATGTCTAAAACCATTTATGGATGTCAATTGATCCTTTGGCTGCTAAATACAATTAGTAGTAATTCCTGTACAGTCAGCCTACCTCTTTGAAAAGGTATGTAAATTAAATATATGATGATTACCATAGTATTTATATCATCTATGTGTTTTATTATGATGTGCAGGGAAAGGCAGAAGCTCCAGTGTTGAGGTAGAACCTGACAAATTCCTTGAAGCCTTCATTAGCAAACTTCAAATGACAAACATTGTAATTATAGCTCCTTCAATGAGTGGAAGGTATGCACTGCCATATTTATTTAATGAGCCAACCAAGGTCTCGGAAACTGTCAAGGGGTTTGTAGCAGTGGCACCTGTTGAGACAGAAACCTATGAAAGCAAATATTCAGCTAGCCAGGTTTGTCTTTAAAAAAAATATTTTAAAATTTGTTCTATTATTGATAGTAAAACACATTGTTCTGGTTAGTCAAGAAAGATATTGAAAATGCCAATGTATAAATATTTTTGGAATATTGTGAGTGATTTTCACTAAATTATGTATATCTAATATATATTAGGGGTGCACCAGATTACATTTTTTGTAATTCTGCTGGAGCTGAATATACCTATACCTACTATTTCTATATAATATATATATTTATATTGATAAGCTATTGTTATGGTGGCATTTACATCATTTCACTGACCCTCATCACAGCTAACACATACAGTTCTTTTGTGTTTGTTTTTTACTAGTCTAATAGTTTAAATAAGTTTAATTTTTTATCACTTATAATAATCTTAAAGTAAAACTGAAATTAATGTAATCTAAGTTAAGTGATGCATATTTATTTATTTAAAAAAAAATATAAGCATAGTTTTCCACTGCATATTTAATCATTAGGATGGCAACATCTTGCATCTCCATGACATTGATGCTTACTTATTCTCATTTTCATTTTCTTTGGTGACTTTTCATGAACTTCAAGTCTGCAGGTTTACTTTTTTTTTTCAATGCCAGATTTTTCTGATTCAAGCAGAATTTTCAACTCTTTTTTTTTTTCCCCACTTTTTAGATTCCAACTTTAATTGTTTATGGCAGCAATGATAAAGCAATTTCAACATTCCTACCAAATCTGGAGAAACTTCCCAAGCATAAAACAGCTGAAATCAAAGACGCTGGACATGCCTGCTACTTGAATAAGCCAGAGGAATTTCATAAAATATTGTACAACTTTTTATTAGAAGTATCATCTTGACTGGCAGAGCAAAGTTTGTTTTATCACTTGATGTTTGATGCACAATGTGCTGTTCCAAATGTATGATATTTTGCCCTAATGTTAGATGGTGTTTTAAAACTGATATACAAATGTATTGAACAAATATGATTGGACAAATTTCTGTTTTGTGGTGAGTTGTGTGTTGAACATCTTGACTTTCTGTAAACAATATTATTTTTCTCAGAACTGATAATAGAAGACAGGAGAGCTGCAGGTGTTCCACTTTTAAGGAATACTGATGTATGCAAGTGGGACATGAAACTCTTCAGAATCGACACGAATCTTGAGTTAAACAGTGTAACATAGACTATGTCATACAAAATAATTCAGTTTTTTCACTGTTTCGTCCATCATTTCAATTTTGTAAAAGTCAAATTCAATTGTTTATTGTTAACATCAATCAATACTTACAAAAATAAAAAAAAATATAACTATGAATATTATATCCTTATACCTTAACATATCTAAGCAAACATAAAGGAACAATGAAAAATCTAGTTTTGTTTGAGGGCATTACTGTATAATGGAATGTATTTAATAGTTAAATCAGTTATTGTTCTTGCCATTTATTGGTTTTCTCATGTAGAAATTATTTTTCTAGTGATTAAATCTACTGATACATGTATCTTTAATATTGGGTTATAAATACAGGGTTTGTAACCATTTGCTGTGTTACATTTTTTCCTCATTATTTATCAGGCCAGACAAAATAAAATGCATTGTAATCCTCTTTTATCATCGCTGCCTGCATAGGTTACCAAGAAGCTTCAACTAGACTTCTGGGTTCTGGGCAAGTCATTACAACTGTCTTCCCATCTGCTTCCAAATCTAGTGCTATGTTTTTCTGGGCCATCCTATCTTCTTCTTTCTTTGGGGGTTCCTGAGGGATTGTCTTGTGAAGGCTGTGGCCTTTCCATCTTCTTTTTTCTTTGGGGGTTCCTGAGGGCTTGTCTTGTGAAGGCTGTGGCCTTTCCAATGCCAGCATCTCTGAAGGATCTTCTTCAATAGGCTGCTGCTTAGTTCTGTGCCACAATTTTTTTATTTTGTGATCTAGTCTGGCCAGGGGCTCTTAAGGATCATGGTTTATATGCTAACATTATATTGTGCTTTAACATGTAGCAAAAGATTTATTCTTAACATTGTGGTATTTTGTTGTTGAGTGTCTTATTTACTACTAAATGATGGGATAACATTGAGTTTCATTTTGTATTTCTCTATTCATGTTAGTTAATTGGATTGATAATAGGACATTGTTAGAAAAAAAAGTTAATGAAATGAAGAGAGTGTATTATTTTGTTTACAATGTAACTGTTCCAATCTGTTTTACCAAAAGCAAGACTGTATTTTAACTATAACACTAAAATTGTGTCTATAGCATGAACAAATGCATCAGTGACAACCGGCCTGGATGTTTTCTTCTCCATTATACTGTGTTATTCTCCTATCTTCTCCTGAAATCATGCATTCCCTACAGTATTTATGATTTGTTAGTTATAAATAGGATAAGTTTTAATAAAAAAAAAGATATGTAAGGCTGATAGATGGAGATGATTTTTTTCTTTCACTAGAGGATGAAATTTATTATGTAGTTTAAAGCTCACCAAATCACAAAATGATTGGATTTCTTTTCGTTGACACTATTTTAATAAAATACCTTGAAAGATTTGCTAAATACAAGTTTTGACATTTTTTTCCTGCACCTTTTGGTTGTCCACTTTTTACAAAGCTTGTATCCACCCACTCTGTCTGTCTGTCTGTTCAAAAGCTTTTACATATTTTTTCTGCCACATCCATTTTCGGATTAATTTGAAACTGCACAATTATTCATTAGCATAGACAAGACATGAATCAATAAAAAAAAGTTAATCATTTGTTTATTAATTATTGGTAATTAATTATTTTGTTTGATACCAACAAAGGAAATTAATCCTTTAGTATTTACAGATATGGCTAAATGTGTAGGGTTTGGTCTTCTTAGATAATAGATAATTGTAAATGTCATTTCTCCCACACCCATTCTTGGATCAAGTTGAAACTTTAAACAATCATTTATTGTACCTAACAAAACATGAATTAATAAAAAAATATCTAACTATTAATTAATTATTGGTATTAACTATTTTGTTTTATATCAAATTAAATAAGGAAATAACTTCTACATATTGAAAGATATTGTAGTGTGGAGTTCTCCTTTAGATAAGCTTTGTTTTTTTTTTCAAGGATTTTTTCATGTTTGCTTGTTTCTCTTGTTTGTTATGGTATACTTTTAGATGACTTCTTTGCAGTCATCTTCCTTGTTCCCAGTCATGTTGCTCTCTTGTTACCTGACAATGTGATATTTGTACATATTAATACTGCTGTGGATTTCTCTGCACCAATCATGATAGTTTGTTTTTTTCACACATTCTTACAGTTTAAGCAGTTTTGTGTTTTTAGTGTGTGTCACATGGTATGACTTTAATTGAAATGAGCAGTCAGTTGGTTTGAATGTAAACTGAAAATTGCCACACACCATATTTGGAATGCTGGTCTGGACAGTCAATTTTTATTTCCTGAAAAATGTTAACATGAGCCCTCTTTTTAAAGTCTCATTTTTTTTACTTTCTCGCTAAATTTTTTCACTTTATACTATTTCACTTTATCACTGAATGATGTCTGCTTTTAGATGACACATCTCCTTTTACACTGTTATTGTCAAACTTTCTTGATCTTAATTTGGGTATTACATGCCTACTAAAATAAAAAAATATATTACAGGTGATATAGTTTGTTCTATAACAGGTAGATTGATCTGATGCCAATTATTAACATGAGTATGAAGCAATCATTCTAATGATCCACCACACTTTACTTCTACTCAGAAGATGTCAGCACAGGATTGACTTTATTCACTTCCAGAATAAAAATCCCAACCGCACAAAGATTTAAACTAAAGACGACTCTCATTTTGAAGGCAAACTCTTATTGTCACATTGACTTCTTATCCAAAAATGTAAAACCAGTATAATCACTTATGCAAATCTTACTCAAAAACACGTCAATGTTTCACTAGTGAATAGACTTTTTTATATGGTCTAATTAGTTAAGAGAAGACATTTAAAAACATTTAATTTTAGAGATCTTATAAAAGAAAGATTCATCCTTTCACCAATCCATTTATTGATGACAGACATGTATAGTATTATGTTTAGTGTATTTTATAAGTAATATAAATTGATTTTTGATCAAAATCATTTGTTCAAATTCATCCTGTCACTGATTCATGATTTAACTAGTTAAATTCAGATTATTATGGCAGATATATGGTTGATTTTTCTTTCAAAGCTATTGAACAATCCTTGTCACCACTTGCAATAGTTCTTGTAAATGGTTTATTTATGAGTATCCAGTCCTTTCAATCATTTTATTTTCAATTCAGCACAAAAATTTACTTGTCTTTATCAAGGAAAAAATTTGTGTCTTTTGTGTAAACTTTGGCTACTGTCTTACAGTACATTACACATTGTAGTTAGCATTTTTCTCCACTGTAAGAAGAATCCATGTCATCATTTTTTAAATACTTCATATTTATACCCTATTATTTCATTGGCTTTAAGGATCATGACATTTTGAGGTAGCTTAAAGTTTCTCATGTTGGGACAAAATGTGTGCATTTAATTCACTTTAATTAATTATGCTGATTTTTTCTTACTTTCAATGCTTTCATTTTTTTTTGTAAATAAAGTTTTGAAAGTATTTTAGCTTTTTAATTTTGTTGTACATGTTTACTGATTGAATTTCAAAATGATGCATATAATGTTATTCATCTCAATCTACCTGCAGGCAATGTTTGTTTGTTCTATACAAAACTCACTAGTAAGTTTTATCAAGCCTGGAAGAACACAAGAATTGACTTGGCCTATTCTCAAACTAATATCATAGTAGAAAAGAAGGGAAAAAATGTTAAGCTTCTGTGGACTTAAAACTTATGATTTTTAAAGAACTGCATGCAGGATTTCATGAGTCAGTATTTTTTTTATTGAATGTCTAAAGAAGAATCAGTGAAAGCTCTCCCAGAACGAATACCAATATGTATGAATAAAAAATGAAAAGTGTATTGAGCATTCTAAAATTATGATGAAAATGTTGAGATGAAAGCCATAATAATGAACTTCATAATCATATTTGTAAAGTCTTTTAAAAACAAATATATGATTATGAAATAAATAAGATTGCCTTAAATTTTAAAGTACATAAAATATTGAATACAAATTATACAATTTTCCATTCAGTCTCAATAAAGAAAACTGCAATATCTAATCTTAGTCGTGCATCAAGCGAATGAAATTGACTATTTCAGAAAGTATGTGTCACGCTGTTTAGGAGAGCGCTTTGTATTGTCTCCACAATCATTTGACTTATGCCAATTCGGAGATGCCTTCAAATCTATATCAAATCACTGCTAGGATACACTGAAGCAGCCCAGAATTTAATTTGTTGAGTTGTCTTTAAATTCAGTTCCATAAAACAAGTAATTCAAACTATAAATCACAAAAATAACTTGGCTGACATAAATAAAACTAATAAGAGTTGAAATACTACACAGTGAAGATACAGGTGATCAATAATCCCTTACGATATAAGCATAACAATAATAATTCAATGCTGAATATTTAAAACAATGGCCACTTCTAACAATCATTAACGACCGTGAATCATGACCAACAACTTACCTTGAACAATGATTAGCGACCAACGAAGCAGGACGTTTTGGCGTGTGACAAACTTAATTACATATACATGCATACATAATGTCACGTGGTTTAATGGACAATATTAAGACCCATACAATAGTATGATGTCACGTGGTTTAAACGGACAATATTAAGACCCATACAATAGTAGGCCTGTGATGTTACTTGGCATACAAACAATAGTAGGCCTGTGATGTTACTTGGCATACAAATAATTACACAACAAACTGAAGTCCAAAATCTAATGGATAAAAGACTTTAGTTCTTCCCCAAAACAAATTTAACACAATCACAAAATTAGATGCGTATTATTCATTTTAAAGGCAAAGTAAATGGAATATTTATAATGTGTTTCAAATATTCAGCCCCAATAAGACCAGGGTGCCAAAACGTCGTGTGCCAACTAACTTCGATAGCTACCTTCATTTTTATATTGTAGTGTGTAGGCCTATAGATCTTTCTGAATAGTTTCCGAATCAGATGGAACTTACAATGACCTTCCCGTGGTTCCATTTTTTCATCTCCCATTCAGTTTATACAAGTCAATTGTTCTCCAGAAAAATCTGCATAATTTTCCACGCACACTCAATGTGACCTAATAATGCGTTATTATGGGCTGTCAAGCGTGACACTATGCACGTACACATGTGACTAGCCCGCTCTTTCTCTTCTGGAGAACTGCTGTGTGAGCAACATCGTTCCGACCACAGCTAATGCCTTGCAAGCATTCGTCTCATTTCCATGAGATAATCCATATAGTCGCTTCGGAGCTGAAGGAGGCCTTAAAACTAATTAATACGATTACATTGCGACAATTACTTTGCTATATGCAAAAATATATTACAATACCGTTTTACTGTCAAAAAGAGTTGAGCCAAAACTCTTGAAACTCTAGGCCTGTAAGCCTGGAAGAGGTCCAAGCTTATATCCATATTGAACACACCTATTTCCAATGGGTCGGACACACCAAATGCACTGACTAGAATACGAGGCCGAAGGCCGAGCACACCGGGAGCCACCGCCATTTTCCTATAGTTTAACCAGCTGAACGTGCAGGACTTGTCATTGAAAAAACTGTCCCTTAAGGAACGGCGCATAGATTCTGACAACGTAGCAATCTCTCTTACAGATCCGCATTGTGCAATATGGGAATGCTTTCGCACTCAGACACTCCCACGGAAGTCTTGTTTTACTGCACATTTAGCCTAAGCATGACCTAAGCTTTTCCTGAAACGATTGCGTTGAGGCAGGGTAGTATACCCGGCAGTTAAGGTTTACAATACGAAAATATGTAGTACTAAAGGTTTTATGCATTGTTTGACGGTTGCTATCTCTTTTGATTGTTGAAAATGTATCAAAGTAACACCACTAGACTTATTCATTTAACTGGGAAAATCTTTAAAAATTAGATTTCAATCTAGATCTATTTGTTTATGAGATATAGAATATATAGATCTAGATTCTATATCTAGATTTAGTCTAGTAGACCTAGAATGTAATGTTGATACGATCCAATTTTTTTTTTTTTTTTTATATAAAAGGGGAGGGAATTATTCTGAGGCGGAAATAGTGTAAAGTCTACATGGATAGTGTTCCCTTTATTATGGCTATTTACTTTGCTTTAATTTCTAGATCTAGTCTAGAGTCTAGAAGGCTATAAGTACGGTATAATATTGACATTTCATATTTCGATTTAGATCTATCATTTAGTGAAATGGCTTTCCAGATTTAACATTACCAACATCTCAAGAAAATACAAAAGATGCAGGGCTATTGCAACGTTCTTAAGGTAGATCTAGATCTTTAGACTTTCTACTTAGCCTTGAGCCTGAGCTCTTACTTTAACTTTAGTTTAGTCTCTTTCAGAAATTCAGTAACTACTCTTTGCTTTTACTTTTAACTTTATTATTATATTAGCTTTTTATTATTAATTTTTACTTTTTTAGTTTTTATTCATCATTCACCATTTCAGACATTCAAAATCCTAAATTAGTCATATTAAAATGTAAATAAAATGATAAATAAATGAAATATTGAATCTTCTAAAATATGTATAACAGTGTTAACTTAAAACTGTGACATCTCATCTGTGTCCTTAGTCGCCAGGCCTACCTTAGACCTTAGATCTAGAATATAGTCTATAATCTATTTCTAAATTTCTATCTTATTCTGACCCAATAGATCTTGATCTAGTTATAGGTTTTTCCTAGAGCTATTGGAAAGACAGTATAGATACTCTGCCCTTGCCAGCTGGGTCCGGGGCGGAGCCGCAACACCATGCATTATTTCCGGTATATATACTGCATATTATGAGGTATCTACAGTGCATTATTCTGCTACCCTTCTATTAAAAACTTGTAGTTAAAAACCAAATCTGCTATTAATTATACTTTATTAATGAAGACCAGCAACTGGTAGTAATTGGAAACTATAGTTTCGCTTGGGTTTTTTTTATTAGAGGGGGAGGGTAACGCTTAAAGAATATGATGACTGTAGTTTGCTTTAGTTTTATTTTAAAGAGGGTTATTTTTAACATGAAAACCTCTGGAGGGGGTCTTAACTAAAAGCCTTCTGGAGGGGGTTTAAACTCAAAACCTTTCTTGGCTACACTCATAGAATCTGGTAACTGTCATTTGCTTTAGACTAATTCAGGGGTTCTCAACCTATGAGTTGTGACCCCCTTGGGGGTCGATTGACGACTTGCCAGGGGTCGCCTAAGACCATCGAAAATATGGATTGTTATAGTCTACTCTTCTATTGCTGTATGTGTGTGTTGGGGGGGGGGGGGGTCATGCAGAGTGGGGAAATGTTAAAAGGGTCGCCAAGCTTAAAAGGTTGAGAACCACTGGACTAATTAATGTCCAAAAACTCCAGGGGGGGGGGGGTAAACCAAAACCCTCCTTCGTTACCCCAATGGAACTTGGTGACTGTTATTTGCTTTATTTTTTGTTTTCTAGAAGAAGGGGGTTTTAACCTGGAAGGGGAATTTAAAGTCAGAACTCCCCCTTGCAAGAGACTAACTAGAGTCTAGTCTAGGTACATCTAGATGTTTTAAAAATGTTTTACATGTTTTGGATGTTCCTTCAGAGTTGAAGATAATCTACTTCCTAGTTCAAACTTCCCACAGGATGACAGGGGATGGCAGTAGGCAGGGTATGAACCCTGTACCATCGAGGCGAACAAATGACAGTCCAACACGCATACTGCACAACGTAGGTCTTACACTAAGTGTAATATGAGTTCTTTTTTCCCTGAAAATCTTTGTGAAAGTACAAGTTTTAAAGTACATCTACTTTAGTAGTAGTTCACTTTCAGAATTACAGTAAGTCTCAAACTGTGGAAATTAGAGGCACACATCGCATAGATTTGATCTATAAGTCTACCTATACCTCACTCTCATGCCTAGATCTAGATACCCTGAAGTCTTTCCTGCTCTAGAAGAAAGTCCATATTATCAAGGAAAACAATCCTTTAAAACCCTTAGCCACAGAAATAGGAAAATCTCAAACCTTAATTAGTGTCCTTTGGTTTTCATAAAAAGAAATGTAAGAATTGTCAATTATTTTAATATTGCTATGCTTTAAAAAAAAATTAATCCAGTTTATTCAGAAATAAATTTAAGACTTTAAAAGAACCTCACTTATCTTCTCAGAATTTCTGTAACTGTGATTATAGTCATGTTAATGTTATAGTCAACATAAAATATTTGAAGCATTATTTTATAAAAATATTTTTTAGCCCAAAAAATGTTTTTTTCTAGTTTTCCAACAGCTGTGTTATGATTTGTTTTTCTGTAGTTCCTGTTGAGAAGCATTAACTTTAGTTTGGATTGATTGACTGTATGTGTGTGGAGGGGGAAGCAGAATTTGTCAAACAAAAAAAAGATAGGGAACCATTAAGCTGAGAGCCATATTTAAGTCATTGGTTAATATGCATGACTGTATGCATGACGCATAGGACGTAATCATCTTCCTTTTTGAAGTAACGTCTGTATTATATAAGATTAGATAAGATTTTAGTTAAGGGAGGTCTTAGAAAATAAACAGGCCAAGAATAAT